ACTCAATCGGAGGCCGAAGTCCGAAACGCGATCAAAGCCCTCAATCGTTTTCTTGCCGCTGGCGCGGATTCCCTCCCACCTGCACTATTTAAGCATGGTGGTGAGGTCCTATGCAATGCACTGACTTCACTGTTCGGACCTGTTTAGAAGGAATAGACCATCCAAGCTAACTGGAGTGAAGCGAGTATAGTGGTAATATACAAGAAGAGCAGTCGCACTGACTGGGCTAACCAAAGGGGTATTAGCCTAACGCCAGCGGTGGTAAATTACTAGCTACAATTCTTGCGCATTGCATCATTACGGAACGGAAATCCCGTAGTAAGGAACAGCAGGCAAGTTTCCGCCCGGGACGACTTTGTAAAGGCCATATGATCACTGCAGCAAGTGCTAGATTAGAGCCACGCGTACCGCAGGCCGACAATAGCTGTGTTTCTGGACTTTAAGAGTGCGTTCCATTCAGTCGATCGATGCAATCTGTTCGAAATACTTGTGCACAAAGGTGTTCCCATGAAATATGTGAACATATTACGTAATCTGTACTCCGACACCATAGGCCGCGTCAGGGTGCACAGTGACTTGTCAGATATCTTTCCGACAACAAGTGCTTCATCAGGTTTGTACAATATCATCGCTAACCCTGACATGAAGTGTCCCCTTGCGCAATATCGTGACGCAAGTCCTGAAATACTGCCTGGTAAAAACAATTTAAGCCTGATTATGCTAACGATATTGTCTTGAATTTTAACGATGTTGGAGCCGCCCAATCAACCCTGAATAACCTCAGTATACGTCTTGGAATTTACTTACATCCATAAGAATTTCAATTTCCTTCTTTATTAAACCATGTTCACCCATTGATCTCACGAGACTGCCCTTAACGCTATCAAGCTGCATCCAACTGGCGCGAACTACACCAAATGCAACTGTTCACTAAGTGACCCATCCCTAATAAGCTAAGAGAATCCCTATCTGTGTTCTCATCTGTTTTACTACTGGCTAATTTGGAATTCATCACTCAAAGAACAGTACGCATATTTTAGCGGGTTTTGAACCCATTGGATGCAATTTGATGGTTAAAATTACCGCCTAGAGAGGTCTATGGAGAAACCTGATTTCCTTAAAGATAAAGTTAAAAGCATCATAAACGCAATCATCTGAGAATAGGTATAGAGTGTTCCCATCATTCGGCATGCACTTCGCACCTTCAAAGTGCAAAGTGTTGGTACAAGACTACTAGCCACTTGATGACCCCCTTGCCCTTGATGGCGATGATCTCGAGTTAACTGATCAATTCACTTACCTTGGCAGCAGCATCAGCAACGTTGGGGGCATAGCAACTGAAATCAGCTAACAAGTTACAAAAGCCAGAGCTGTCTTCTTGCATTTTCGACACTTTCGATGACAGGAAGGTGTTTCCCTCGGGCTGAAATGCCGTGTCTACAAGGCCACATTGAGGGCCGTCCTCCTATAGGAAAGTGTGACTTGGCCCCTTCGGTCTGAGGTGCCTTTAAGCCGTTGATCATCGTTTTCTGCGAAGCATGCTGAGTGTCGGATAGCAGCAGCGTGTTTGCGACAATGAGGTGTTTAGGCGATTTCTACAGTGCTAATCAGGCTAATATCTTATGACATCAGACAGCACAGAATAACTTGCGTTTGCTTGGGCTCGCAGTACATTTGACTAGTAACCGCTTTCGAGGAGCGGCTGGTTTTGTCTGCCGGATTTAGGGTGATATGAGGCTTGGGGTGGGCAAAAGTTAATTTGGCATCGTGAATTAAAATCACTGACTACCAAAGTCGCTGTCGTCGGTCCGTCTTGCATTCCAGACTGGAGTCCATGTGACCTCGTTTTATTTAGATCGAGACGGGACAGGACAAGGCTCGTAGTCGGTATTAGTGGCGCGTCTGCTGTCAAATCCTAGTCGGACTCTCTATATAAAATATATTTGGTGCAGAGTTCGGTGCAGCACAGTGAAGACCGCAAGCAAGCTTTTTCGCCGATGTCGCCTTATCTTTGCACTATGGCCGGCTGTTTGTGATAGTATGTTGTTGACAAGTTGTGAGCACTTTGACCCTGAATGTTTGCTTAAGTCATTAAGATATTGCACTAGTTCATCCATTTTTGTCTCAGGTTATTCTTGGTTCCGCATGTCGTTGTGGTTTTTGGCTGCATGGCGTCAGTTCAACTTGCTGATGTTCTTCTTTTATGATTGCTGATTAATTGCTTTGTGCATCATCCAAACCGTGAGGCAGCTTCGCTTAGGATTTTCAGAGTGCTAAATTCGCATTTTACGACCGACCGGTGTTTGTATACCGTGTACTTTTAAGAGGCAGCCGTGGTTCTGCATGCACTACGCACAGATCGCCAGTCCGACTTGGAAAATGTAGTTCATTAGGATGTTATAAGTGCAAGGTCCCACTAGTTGATTGTCGAGGCGGTGGCTCTCGCAAAATTCCACAGCCGTGTGTATAGGATGGTTGGGGTGGATCGCTTCAGTGCACCACGAGCGATGTTAATCCGGCCAGTCTGACGAGCGTCCATGCGCGGATTCGGTTAGAACGCGAAAATCGACCCCTGTTTGCCACCACCACGGATTTAAACGTCACTGCGACTATGCAGGAAGGAACACATGGACCATTTACATTGGGACTGAAAACACTAGGGATGATAGCCTGAGCTGCGACATTAATATCACTTTGACGGATATCACTGTTATCGCGATTATCATCTTACTTCGCTTATAAATCGCTGCTCCGGTTCTATACTTCTTCACCTGATCTGACGAATGTTGTGTCAAAAGCGAAACGTTAGCAAACAAAAAGCACAAAATGATTGTTTCCAAAACTTGCTGAACTCATATTCCACAAGGTGTTTGTAACGATGGTATATTAAGGGTGAAAATGAACGCATATGTTGTGGGCTTGCAAATGCGGAGAGTGGTATTATCCGAGTCTTCACTGTTTGAGCCCGCTTAATATCAAATACGGCAGGCCAGAGAGTGCATAGCTAATACTACTCATAAAATCTATGCAGTTCCATATAATGAATAGTACAGCAACATCTACTGGACAATGCGGACGAGCAGTAAAAATGTTTTATAAATTCCACCAAAACACTAACAAACAACTAATTATTGCCAGGCCAATTACTTTAATCCAACCGGAGCTTCCTCATATAGTTTACATCGGACCACTTTGGTTTTGTCTACTGTGGCATAACTGAACGCTTTTTCGCAAGCTAACTTGCCGGAAAATTTACGCAAATCTGTCCATCTTAAGTTAGTTACATGTCTTCAGTTGAAGCCCTGAAGGCGAATTTTTACGATAACTTTATCAAAAACTGGACGGTTATTCGCTCCGATTATTTACTCATCCACCACGCAATCCCATGCAATGAGCTACAGACTATAAGTGCAAAAACAATCTCTAATTAAGTTGGAAGGTTCCGCAAGCAGAATTTGATAATGGTCATATTTTCGTTTGAAAAATCGCAAGGCATGTTTCAATGATGGCCTGAATTTTGTACAGTCCGTAGAAAGATAATCAGTTCTCTATGGAAAACAAACCGGTGCTGAAAGCGATCAAATATTCGAGTATGTTTCGGCAACACAGTCACAGATATCACGAGCATAACTGCACATAATGATCCGTTTGTATTAGAGAAACAGCTATTTGCGCGTCTAAAACTCATATGCGATTATTATTATTTTTATTATTATTATTAGGATCACATGGGAGCAGAACCAGGTGGACACATTCCATGCAAACTATGGTAGCTAGTTTCTAATAGAGTGCCTGTGGGACTGAATTCTGTGGCTGCATTGTGGCTGTCGAATATCGGCCACACATTAGTTAATTTATTATAAAGCGACTCCAGGAATACAGTGAAAACGAAGACACCGAGTACTGCAATTTAGGAGTCTGTGTATCTTGAAAGAAAGTGGTGACCCCATAATGGTATGTGAACTTCAATTGTCGATGTTAATAACGAAACAAATCGTAGTGACCTAAATGCCGACAAACACCGAATGGACTTAGTTTTCCAGTACATTACGGGGAATTTCACTGCTGCTCATTACACTATTTTCCGGCGTTAACATGTATCCACTCATTAGTGCTAGTTAGAGACACATACAAATTTGTATTCTGGTGAGGGTGTTGTGCAGGCCCACTTAATCATACCGCATCAGTGCTATGTGGGAACTTCTATGATGAGCGAAATTGCACCAGTGTCATGCATTGGGCAGAACCCAGATTACTGTCGTCGGTCTACTGGCTAGAGGACCACTTATACACTTGGGACGAATCAATCATGCTATAAGTACACTGGAATACAGTCTATTCTCGTATGATCACCGAGGCTAATCTGGTTCATTCATTCAGAGCTAAACAATTCAGTCACTTCCGCCAACATGCTCGAGTAATGTTAGATGCATCTACTCACAAGTAAAGATCACGTTCGCACGGGCTTATTTTGCGATGCCTTCAGATAGTTGCCATCATCGTCACTAAACATCTCGTGCAAAATCGATAGCGGTTTATTTGTCCGTATTTCCCGTTACCATTGTTCAGACTGTGGGCTGCAACACACGGGTATGATTAGCTTATCAGTTGGCCTCAGCTTCTCCTTCGATGTAAACAATCGACTGCGCTACTGTGCTGCCTCTGCCTCATTTCATTCCTAAATAAATGACGGAGGAGAAAGCTCCTCCTGCAGTTTGAAACGATCAATTAGTATGACCTTGCCACCGCTTTTACTTTAAGTCCCAAAAGGCTTGTGGTTGAACAAATAAATGACAAGAACCACAGCATATTGAGCAGTGGAGTGTCAGCACCTGGATGACAATTGTTCCAGTTCCTATCACGTGTAACGTGCAACTTTTAGTATGTATAGGCACAGGCCGAAGACTTTCGTTCCTATCACGGCGATCGAAATGGATTTGTGGTTATGAGTGTGTGTTCACAAGTGTGTTGTTCGATGTAGACAGGAGACATGATTGAATTCATTCAGCAGGTTGGCTGCTAAATAGCACAAACTTCCGTGAGCCCGAGAGAAAGGTAATTGGGTTGGCCAATTTCACAAGTGTGGCACGTGATGCCTGAATAAATCTTTTTCTATCATGTGTACAGTTGAATAGTAAGTAATCACATACATAAGAAGCTAAGCTCAAGAGGGCTAGATTTGAACCAAAGTTCATAGTAAAAATAAACAAATTAAACTTTCCTGCCTCACCAGTGACACGAATCAAGAACTGGACACCGTTCACCTTAGTTAACAGTCGGCGAGGTCCTTTTTGATCATCACTGTTGGACTCACCCACGTGCACTGCCACGGCCATTGGCCAACCACCGTCTGTTGCAGGGCTGTCTTTGTTATCCCCACCTTGCCCATCTAGGTATAAGAAGTCGTAGCGCGGTAAACACCGCTCTATCGACAAGTCAAGATCACACTGCCAGTTTATTGTGATGGCAACCACTCCTCCATGACGTAGCAAACGGTACTTGTCCCCACCGGCCAGGTCTATTATATCCCCTATTCGGAAATTCGGACAGTATCGGTTCCGGTTGTGATGTGGCTGGTAAGTGCATGTGTGAAGGTACTCCTTGTCCATCCAGTTGAGTATATTTTGGCGTGCCACTTCAAACCGAGGAAATTCAATAACATTTTTAATAGTTACTGTGAAATTTAGCACTTCGAGCATCGGTTCAAAACGAAAGCTATCCTTTTTCTTGAACAAATTAGAACGTTTCATTGTTTCGGTTTTGGCGCGCATGTGTAGCTTAGTGGAGGCGTCTGCGTGCGTTTGTAAATCCATTAGCGATGTAACTAAGGGCTTCAAACGACCATCATGTAGAGAATCCATATCTTCCAGAACAGGGCACCAACCATATATCTCACAACTCTGCATCGCAGCACGACATCTTCCAGTGAACACACCATGACTGTCGGCGTCCACATCCACTATCCAGTCAGATGGCAGTTTTCCAGTTGGGCTACGCAGCGATCTACCGGCGGTGAACCCGGCTACACAATGCTCATCTGCTTGGCAGTGTGCATCTTCCAAATCTCTTGCTTCGGCGCATGTGTCGTAGTGCTGAACTGTGTAATTGCTAATTCGCGTTATAAGGAACATGCCGAACTCTTGCACCGGTTGTAGTAAGTACTCTGATGAGTCCCATACCAATGAATCCATACAGGGGTCTTCACTTTCAGTCGCTGATATGCCCCTGATCTGCGTCCGAACTCCACTGAGTGCTGTATCGAATCGTTGATATCCCTTGTTCCACCACATAACAAAGACCAGGAAGAAGAGCAAGATGAGTAGCTGGAGTATCCGATTCACCAAACTGATAGCTCGATGTTTCACGCGGACCACTTTTGGCATTTCATAAGTCAACATTGTATCTGTGGTGTGCTTTTGTGGAATTCGAGCTAACCGAGTTTGTCGGAGTACACAGAGCGGAACCAGTGATTTAGTCTTTTATTGCCCATCAGGAGATCAGGCTATTCGTTGGTTTGTTCGTGCTCAACTGCCATTCATTCGCCAGACTGTCTGTCTGTCTACCGGTGTGTCTCTAGGTGGTGACTTGGTCTTGAGAACTAGCATGGGAGATGATGAGATGCCGATATTCACCGCGGCGAATGCTCATCGTAATTCTATAGCTGTGTTGGCCTGGAAAACAACCACATTCAGCGCTGCATCTGCCAAGTGGATGCGTGATCATTTCGAGTATTTCCGATGGCGACACCAACAAAAGGTGTAGGTCTCGGTAAACTGTAGCTCTCTAATGCGTAGCCATCGGGTGATGGCAAAATGGTAAACTGCAAATCATGTTTTGTGACTTCGAAAAACAGAGTGCAGTGTGTGATGCGTGGGAAAGTAAGCATGAATTGATACGAAGCATGCGATTCACATAGCTACTTTTATGGCCCAATTATGATCAGAAACCAGGGTAAGCGAATACATGTTTTCGATAATTCATCTTCAGGATTAGTAATAATAATAATAGTAGTACTATAAGAATAATGTGTCAGCTGTACGCCGTAACAGCGTTTCGCTGCCGCGCAACCACCACCAGTCGCGCGCGGGCTGAGTATACCGCAAGGACGCCCACCCCTACGCGGATTCGAACCGGTGACCTTATGGTTGCAAAGCAAACATGCAGGCTATTCGCCCACCGGCCGACATCTTCAGGCTTAGTCGCTTGTGACTGGTGGAAGCCGATGAGAAAACTGCGATCCGGCTATATGAACCGATGCTGTGTTCAAAAGTAGCTAAAAGGTTGAGACTACTCTGGCCCGAACGGCCAGTGACCTCTGACCCGCGAGATCACTCGCGGTCGGTTGTCGTAACTTAACAGACAGCATGCAGCATGCTGTTAACTCGCTTTAGGATTAACGACTTCTAATGCTTGACTGCACATTTTGACTTGCATATAGTTGTATAAGCCTGAAGATGAATTATCAAGGAGATTTGTTTGCTTAACCTAACGGCTTTTATGTCCCGATTGTAAAGTTTACTCTTCAAGACTTGCCTTGTATTGTCTCAGTCACGCCGGGTGCTGGTGAGTTAGGATACCAACATACCATCGTTAGCCCAAACTATTTTTCAATTTGAACGAGGGAACTCAGTAACACTTCGTGGTTCCCTTTGTGCTGTATCAGGATGCTTATGGTCGGTGACACGCCACCAGAAAGATTCGTCCGCATCCACTAGTACTAATTTTAACATTTTCATCAAATGTTGCACCTAAACGGCAACTGTATAGGCTATGTTTATTTTGAGACGCATCTTTGGTGCAATATGTTTGATGCATCTCTGGTAGATGTTGGATAAGGTTAAACTAGCCTGGCCGATGTTAAACTCCATTAAATCAAGAATAGTAAGTAAGTAAAGTAAGTAAATGACGCACAGTAAGTAAATGACGTAAAGAAAATGTAAGTAAATGACGTACAGTGCTTTGCGAAGTAAGCTGCCAGTTCAAGACAGACAACCTCAGCACCCTGATTTAAAGTGGCTTACTTTCTGAATAAAACAATGAGAAGACTGGCATTGCGGTATACACCTCTTGTATTGAATAGAGGCGAAGCTGTTGAAGGATTCATACAGTCCTGCCCATGTAGCTTTCCTGTGCACAGAACGCTTTATGGAGCCGTCTCCTCGTCTGGTCAATAACACATCCAAAAACGGAAGGCAATTGTTATCCTCCAATTCACAGACGAAACGGGCGTTTGGATGTGCATTATCGAGCACACTGAGAAGAGATAGAACAGCGTCTCCATTTGGGCCGATCACTAGTGTGTCATCTATGTATGGCCTGTATAAACACACTTGCTTGATGTGCGACTCACATCTCATTTCAACCATCATCATGAAGATGTCAGCCAATACCGGGCCAAGTGGAGTTCCCATGACTACACCATCCACCTGTCGGTACGGCTTGTCTTCAAATAAGAAGTGCACATTTCCTTGCATAGTAACAGCCAGTCCCTAAGACATTCCACGGGAATCGGTAACACTACTTTATTACTCACGATAAACTCACACGAGAAATGCACCGTTTCTCTTAATGGAATGTTACTGAACAAAGACTGTACGTCCATTGAACACATTATCTTGTCAGCAATATTCCTGTTTTGTACACAGTCAACGAGGTCGAATGTATCCTTCACATTATGCTTTCTCATCATTCGTCTCACCGGTGTAAGCAGATCCACCAGCCAACGCGCCAACTTGTGGTATGGTGAGTTACACATGTATAGTACATGGTGAACTCCATACACCAAACCGCTTGTCTAGATAGAAGTCACATCAAAGCCCTACGTGATCTGAAGGCAAGAGATGTGTTGGTGCGAAAACCTGACAAAGGCACAAGAGTTGTAAGTATGAATACGCATGACTACAAAAACTAGATCTTTGAGATCTTTGGAGATGAATCCGAATTTCAGGAAGACCAAAGTGAAACCACTGTAACACAAATGGAAAAGACAGTGACCAATCAATTAAAATTGTTGCTGCCACATGGAATGAGAACAGAATCGACGTACAACTCTCTAAAGCCAATGGAGACACGCACTCCTCAAATGTACCGCTTAGCAAACATCCACAATGCAAACACACCTTTAACATCTGTACTAGCTATGTGTAACTCACCATACCACAAGTTGGCGCGTTGGCTGGTGGATCTGCTTACACCGGTGAGACGAATGATGAGAAAGCATAATGTGAAGGATACATTCGACCTCGTTGACTGTGTACAAAACAGGAATATTGCTGACAAGATAATGTGTTCAATGGACGTACAGTCTTTGTTCAGTAACATTCCATTAAGAGAAACGGTGCATTTCTCGTGTGAGTTTATCGTGAGTAATAAAGTAGTGTTACCGATTCCTGTGGAATATCTTAGGGATTGGCTGTTACTATGCAAGGAAAATGTGCACTTCTTATTTGAAGACAAGCCGTACCGACAGGTGGATGGTGTAGCCATGGGAACTCCACTTGGCCCGGTATTGGCTGACATCTTCATGACGATGGTTGAAATGAGATGTGAGTCGCACATCAAGCAGTGTTTATACAGGCGATACGTAGATGACACACTAGTGATCGGCCCAAATGTAGACGCTGTTTTATCTCTTCTCAGTGTGCTCGATAATGCACATCCGAACGCCCGTTTCATCTGTGAACTGGAGGATAACAATTGCCTTCCGTTTTTGGATGTGTTGTTGACCAGACGAGAAGATGGCTCCATAAAGCGTTCTGTGCACAGGAAAGCCACATGAGCAGGACTGTATGAATACTTTAACAGCTTCGTCCCTATCCAATACAAGAGGTGCTTTTCGCAATACCAGGCTTCTCATTGTCCTATTTAGAATGATAAAGGGAACGCAGTGCTTTAAACTTCTTAGACGGTGACTCCCAATCGAGGCTTACTTTATCAATTTCGATTTCCCATGCTTTCGATCATTTAGGGTGCAAATATTACCACTTTTGTGTTCACTATGAAAAATAAAATCATATAAGCGTTTCTGGACTCTCAGTGCTTTTGAATCCCATCATTAAACGAGGTGAGCTCTCCATCGCATAGAGATAAAGATGAGCATTCAAAGAACAGCATCGACAGGTGCAAAACTTGGGAGGCGGGTATAGGTATCGAACACGTTACACAACGGAGGCACTATCCACCCCAAAGCTCAACGGTGAGTAATTGCTGATATTGTAGCGAAAAAGTTAGTGCAACTTTGGATCATACGCTTGGTCTGTATAAACAGTTTTATTGAATTATTAGTTGCATTTTGACACAGTGACAATGAAGTTCGTCAACGACCCACCTTTAAATCCGGTCATCCTTTCAGAGCCTTAACCTAGGCTGATGGACGAGGCCTTCTTTCTAGTAACCGCGTTATGGCCACAACTACCTACTGTATTGTTTTAAACAGTGTACGTCTCCGCACGAAGTTCAGCTTGACAATTATAACATTTAATAAATCACTTTTCTTGGACTCCTAAATGAAATTCTAAAGAGAATTGCATTTCCAAGCGGATACAAATTCACAGATGTGTGCATGCTGAGGTCTCGTATTGATGGTTCACAAGGGAGACCAGTGAGTTGCATGCGTGAGCTTCCTTACAGCAAGTTCAAGATTCCTCTGCATGCGAGTGAACGGGTCTACAAAGGAAAATAAACACACACTGACGTTAAACAGCTTTTTAAGGAGTGCATACATACTTGAACAACCATGGGCATTTCCAATTCACAAAAATGCATTAAGTTCTCACAGGAGCAGAGGATTTTTCCATGTTCAGTCCATTAGTGCGGTTGTCAATAGTCCGATGTGGTATGTTTGCTTACGTGTTGAGTATTTTTGCATTTCAGTGATTAGATGCTAATTGAGCTCCACTGTGTGACTACGTCTGATGTGAATCTTAACAAGGTGCCTACCTGTCTATTATCCTCCACTTCCTCCATATTGGTTCCTGGAGACAGTTGATCGTTGCTGTATGGGGCGGGGTGCACCGTCCTCGTGACCGTACTAGGCTAGAAGAGTGGTTACATCCTGTGTAGAAAGGGCTACGGCACAGCCACCGCCTTATGTACATATGGTGCGCATGATTTCCCAATTAGGCAGAAATGCTTCTGTTCTGCTTGTTGAAGGAGTGTCGACCGGCTCCCAACCGCGTGCCTCCCGGTCTTC